GAGTTAGAGCTCAGCTGCGGGATGGAGGCTGAGCTTCTCAACACTGATCTCAGACAGAAATCCCACGTACTGCTTGAGCTGTGGTGCCGAGACAAAATTCTCCTGTATGAGAAAAGTCGTAGAGCCTTCACCTGTATTCTGATTTCAGTACGTGAAAATTCTCCAAATATTTAATAAGTGCATTGCCCTCAGCAGAGTAATTATCCTCTTAAAAACTGAGATCGGCAGCGCTGCCGTGTAGGAGGAGTGGCGCAGGGACAGCAATACAGCAATGGAGACGGCAAGTGCAAAACCAAGCACTCGTACGTTCTGAAAAGCTGAAAGAAGCCACTGGGAGATTCTGCTCCACACGCACGTTCTGGGCAGGTGGCCGGCATAACGTGTCTGTTTAACTGCCCGTGTTAACCTGCCACAGCTCGAATTTTAACAGCAAACTGCTAACATCAAACTATCACACTTCTATGCAAGTCGTCTTACCTCATCTCTCACCGATGTGCTCCTTGTTTAGTTCGCAGCAGTCTGATTCATCTACTTGTCTGAATCATATTACACAATTCCTTTAAAGCTTCCCTAGTACCAATGCAATTTTGCTTGGATCTGATTTGACTTCAGAAGATCATTATGTCTGAACCAAGACTTAAAGTACTGTATATCTTCTTGGACAGTGTTCTAGAAAACACATCTGTGGCTAATTTAACCAGTCACTGGATATTGTTGTTGTTCCACACAAATCCACTTGGAATACAGTTTCTCTGGCAATAGTATACTTTCCCCCTAACCTTGCACACTCTCTCTGGGAGTCACAGTTTCCTGGCAAAGTGCCTGCCTTTGACAATGGGGCTTGTCACCAAGGGGCCTCAGAGTTCTAGATGACGCTCTTTTCTGATAGATTTATGTATTACCTAAACAAGACAAAGTGATGAGAAAAAAACCCTGAAAACTGGTAAAGAAATGCCCTTTGGAAATACGAGATGGGATTGTAAATCACTAAAATTCACTCCTGAAATAGCTGCCTTTTCAGTAGGTAGAGCGAATTATCCAAATCTGCAGTTTGAATCTGTGTTTGTCTTTTAACATTGAGATAGATCTGATTTTCAAAAGGTCAATATGAAATGCTGCTTGGTACTAAAGACAGTCTCATACTTTGTATAATGAAGATGATTATATTCTGTTGCTGCTGAGGCCAGGAAGCATTATTTATTAGCTAATTCAAGCATAAGATTTCTGATCCTGTGTTTGTGCTGTTTGTTTCTGAAAGTGGAGAGCTTTAAGAAGGAATAAATAACGTATCTCTGGGAAACACTAGTAACCCGTATTTTGTCCAACCTGCGGAATCCAATTTTGTCCTTGACTTTAGGCTTAGCCCCCGGAGCATAGTTTTCCATCCTTCTGAACAGGACAGGAATAGGAAGGGAAATTTAAAGAAGCTCAAAAGAGTGTTTCAGAATTGCAACATTTGGGAACAGACAAAAACCAAGCACTAAGACGAAGCTGAATGCGCTTATAAAAAGGGTAATACGCCAGTGCCTGTGAAAGGCGAAAACAAGGGAGCTGTGACCCAAGAGATCTCTTCCAGTCCAGCCTGCCTATGTTTAGATGATGACGACACCAAACTGACCAAAAACCACGGAAAGATCTCTAAGCCTCTGACATTTTTTTCATCCCTTGCTTTCAGAGTATTTACAAGCTGAACACCAAGACTTAAAAAAAAAAAAAACCCAAACCACCTCACGTTGATACTGAAGATCTGGAAAAATTTACTGAACGCAATGAAACGAACAACATCTATTAGCATATTTTTGTTCCAAAATAAATCTTATGACTAAAACATGAAAATTACTATACCAGCCCCCCCTTGGTAACAGCTGGTGAAGATCTCTCTTTCCCCATCAACTCGTAAATATTGCCTATGACCTAGAAACCATACGTGACAGGGTCTAATCATGCCCCAACAGTGCACAGGACCTGGCAGATTTCAAGGCATCCTACCGAGTGATTTGACGTGGCAATTACTTCACCCACCAGTGCCGGAGTGAAACAGAGCAAATATTTAAAAAAGCTAAAGAAGGTTATTACACAACATGTTCAGGACAGGAAATGAGAACACTTTAATCAATTAAACTTGGATATGCCTTGGCAGATTAAATGGCAGACTAAACAGTAGCAAAAGAATACTGAACCAATTTCACTTCTCTTGTGAAAGCACAGCCAGATATTGGGTTATTTTGTAGGCAATCAGGACCTCAACTTTAAATCCTGATAAAGGAAGACATCTCCCATGCACAGTACCCCCCTAGATACAAGGGGCTAAGTAGATACTTACAAATATTTACTCCCAGAAGCTGCCAGCTTAATTCCAGGGTTTTACTCAAAGTAGTAAATATCTGCAGTATCCCAGAAACTAAAGATAAAAGTTGAGATTAAATCACCACGACAGTTTCTGGGAAGAGCCAGGTGCTTCTCAGAAGCTGCGGACTTAGCCTGTTTCAAAGCTGTGCTCAGATCCAAATTGAAGGTACGTTCAGCCTGATTCCAAGAACACTGATAAATGTGTCCATTGGCTACGAAAATGTAACGTCTCCACAGAAGACATGGTATAGAGAAATGACAAGAGTTGTTTTTAATAACTATAAAGCAAAACCAACACTAAGACTCTAAGAACTCTAACTACCTGAGAGAAAAGATCTTCTGGTCTCTAAAGGAAAAGATGAGATTACAAGCTTTTTACAGCTCATCTAGATAAACAAAAATCAAAAAAGCTTCCAGATTACAAACAGTCGAGACAAAGTCAGAATAACAGAAAAACTAAAATCACCCAATATTTTTAGGCAAGGAAGTTTTAATCCAGAATAATTTTTCCACTTGCCAGAATCAAAAGAAATCACTCTCTCCCTTCCCCTGATTTTGTTTTTTTCCATTCAGAAAATAATCATTCTAACTAGGAGCACTGGAGTTAAAAATTAAGCTGATCTAAAAACTTAATAGCACCGGGCAGTAAGACAAATTAAATTGCAGGCACAGCATGAGAACACCCTCTCCATTCCTTGTGCTGAGGGGCAGAGGCGGGTGTTGCCTAAACCCAACGCCCCAGCTCCACACCTGTCTGCAACCAGAGCATCTCCTTAAATAGGACATTGCCTTTCTCCTGCCTTCTTCCTTCCTTCCAGATGAAAAACCAAGTTTTGCATTTCTGCTTTGAGGAATATCCCTGTGAATCTGCCATGGTTTTGCATTCTCTGTGCAGTTTGGATGGAGCAGTCCAAGGTGTCAGTGCTTGAGGGGAAGCTGGTTGAGGGACCATCTCCAGCCCCATCAGCTCCCTGAGCCAGCAAATGGCACAGCTGGGACTGGGGAGGCAGCAGCCTGGACTTGGGCTGGCTTAGCCTGGCACAGATCCACACCTTTAGAAAAATGGACTTGAGGAGCTGTTTAAGGGAAACCATGAAGCACATTTCCTCCCTAATGAGTTCTTCCTCCAAGATTAAACCCTGCAGCTTGGCCACAGCAGAAGGCTCTCAGTGATGACAATATTTATTTTCTTTTTGAGCTCTACGAATTAATTGTGCTGGATAAGAGAAAAATGTGTTGTATTACAAGCAGGAAGGAACTGCTGAGCATGCATAAAGGCAGTCACAGAGAGCCCTGATATCCTCAAAACTGCAATTCACAGTCCTTTGTATTTTTACAAGAGAACTGATCTTGGTTTTGTTACTGTTGTTGTCAATCAATTCCAAGGCAGGAACCTAAATCCCAGCTCTTCTCGAGTAACACAGGAGAGGAGCAAATGAAGAGAGGGAGAAATGTTTTTATTTTATTTGTGCAAAATCTCAAAAACTTCATTCTGTGCCCTGAATGAAATTTGCATGTATAATATTATTGTAATATGACCAACAAAATAAACAAAATGCACAGAATTATACAACTAAGGAGGAACTTGGCACATGGCTCACAACTCCTCACAGCGAGAAAATTAAAATGAACAATGTGAGGCGAGGTTTCTGGAACGGAGCACTTTTATAACGATTTTCCAAATGTGTCTAGAAATACCTTGCAG